ATGCCCAACCCTACACCCCCATCTCCTGTGTTTGTGTCCACCTGGAGGTTTCAACAGAGGGAAAGTGAAAGGAGGACAGCTGGGTTTGGCATCATTCACACGTTGTTCCTCTTGGTGGAAAATCAGCACAGGTGACAATGTGCTGCCAGAAGGGTTCACGTCTGCACCAGGCTGGGATTTGCGGCCCAGGATCCTGCCTCACTGCTGTGCCCATAGGAAGCAGCATGGCCCTTGCTCTTCCCATAAATAATGGCGAGGCACTGAAACAGGCTGCCCAAGAAGGTGGTGGAGTCACTGTCCCTGGAGGTGTTCCAGAAATGTGTGTGGATGAGGGACGTAGTTAGTGAGCATGGTGGGGATGGGATGGTGGTTGGATTGGATGATCTCAGAGGACTTTAGCAGTCTTGATGATTCTGTGATTCCTCTAGCATTCCTCTGCTGCTGGAAGCTTTTGCTCTGCAGGAAAGCAGGGCCTTCAAGTTATGTTGTTTGTATGGGAACCTCCTGGAAGCGGCTGGAGGTCTCCAGGCCATGCTTGAAAGTTACCCTCCCTTTGCCACTCTAAACTGTGACCTCCTCCTCCTGCCTCTGCCACTGGAGCCTCCCTGCAGCAAGAAGGCCCTGTGGGGTGTCTGCTTCCCTGAGGCCAGCCTTGTGATCAGACAATACCCAGCACTCCCAAGCAAGCCCTGTCCTTGGCCAGCCTCTCTCAGCCAATCTCAATAAAATCACAGTATTATTAGGGTTGGAAAAGATCTGTAAGATCACCTGGGGCAACTGTCAGCCCATCCCCACCATGCCCACTGACCACGTCCCTCAGTGCCACATCCACACGGTTCTGGAACAGGGACAGTGACTGCACCACCTCCCTGGGCAGCCTGTGCCACTGCAGCACTGCTCTTTTGGAGAAGAAATTTTTCCCAGTATCCAACCTGAAGTTCCCCTGGTGCAACTTGAGGCCGTTCCTTCTCATCCTGTCACTGTTACCTGGGAGCAGAGGCCAACTCCTGCCTCATCACAACCTCCTTTCACGTCACTGTAGAGAGCACTGTGTTCTCCACTGTCCTTCAGATTGAACAACCCCAGTTCCCTCAGCTGCTCCCCATCCAGACCCCTCACAGCTCCGTTGCCCTTCTCTGGACGCACTCCAAGGCCTCCATGTCTTTCTGGTAGTGAGGGGCCCAGAACTGACCACAGGACTCGAGGTGCAGCCTCACCTTCCCCACTCCTCCTGTTGCTTGGCCTCCTGGTTTCAGGAATGTCCTGCCATGGCAGTAAGGCAAGCAGCCTGCGTGCCTGGCACTCAGCCTTTCCCTTACAGTCGTTTGGCACTGAAAATTATCTGCAGACAAAAGCGCCGTACCTGGGTCTTAATTTCCTCCCTCGCCAAACCATTACTACTAATTACCTCTCCTAGGTGTTGAAACCGTTTAAGCGACACTGCTAAATGCCCTGTGTTAATTTAATTGCCATGGAGCCGGGTTTCCCTGCATGCAGAGCTCTCACAGGGTCTCAGCAGAAGCAAAGCTGTCTCTCATACACTCTTCAGCCCTGTCTTTGTGGGACCAGACATGTTGGCTTGTCTCAGTCACAGGGCAGGAGGTCTCTGAGACCCCCTGGCCCTTTCCTGGCCCGGTGGTGTGGAGGAGAAGGCTGAGGTGAAGGAAATGGCCGGGAGCCAGTGAAGCCAGTGCTGGTAGAGGTTAGCTGGGACAGGAGGGGCACTGTGACCCTGGGTGAGGACGGGGCTGGCACCCACCCGAAATGTCTGCATAGCCCAGGGGATGGGGCAGAGGAGGACTGCTGTCCACGCGCAAGTCCTTTGCATTGCTCAATGCGACAGATTCACTAGAGAACGTTAGGGAAGTGCTTTGAACATGAGAAGTGCTGAGTGCTGCTGTTCCTTGTTACTGCATGGAGGCCGGCCCTGTCTGGGGCACGGAGCAGAACTGGGCACATCTGATTCTCAGATGTTGCCTTCCCCCTCCTGCCCTGACCCACAAAAGCGAGGAGAAAGAAGAAAGCGGAGAGGAAGAAGGGAGCACACCTTTAGCCCTAATGAGGAAGGAACATCTCTGAGAGCTGGGGGCTGAGCTGTGCCCCCCCATTATGGCCGGGCACCGTGCAGGACATGGGGCTGGAGCCATGTCTGGCAGCGTCCCACTTGCAGGGTTGTCCGCATCCTGTCCTGCTTTACTGCCTCCCCCTTCCCCCCCGTGCCCTGGTTTTGTAAGGAAGGGGTCCCCAGGGAGGAGCCGAAATGGGGCAGCGGGTGGGGGGAGCATGGCGAGCGATGGCTCAACGATCCCATCCTGCCCTGGGGAGCACAGCCAGGAATTTGGGGAGCGGTCAAGTAAAACCCTCCACGCACCCATCCTCATGGCCTCTTCTCAAGGTTGGAGGACAGCATGGTTTAAGTTTACCTGTGCTCACTGTAAAGCAAAGCCTCATCATCCCTCCTTTTCCTCCTTTGCTGTGAAGGCTGTGGGGCTCCATGCCACCCCCCGGGTGAAGGCATCGGCAGGGTGTGACCCCATTGCTATTTTCCAGGTGCTCCTCCAGCCCATCGGGACCTTTTTCACTTTAATTCCACTCCCCCTTGCACCCTCCAAAAAATAAATCCACTTGAACGAGGACCGAGTTATAAAAAAAAAAAATCTTTATTTCATGTACCAGGAATTTTTTTTTTTTTTTTGTCATTTTCTCTTTTTAAAATTTTTTTTTCTTTTTAACAGTCTGAAAAAAAACCCACGAAAGAAAAGTAAATGGAGGTCGGTTTTTTCTTGTACTGCTTTGAGCTGGACATGTGCAATACCCTCGGAAGAACGCATCCCTGCCAGCCCTCATCCCTCCCCATCCCTGGCAGGGGGGTCCGGCACTCGTCCCCTGCCTCTCCCTGTGAATGCTCCCCAGCTCCATGGAGCTTTTGGGTTTAACCCCAAACACTGCTCTTCCTTATGCTGCAGTCCGGGGCACCGAGCATCGCTTGTCCCTATGGGCCGGTGGGGGTTTGTTTGGAATTTTTGTCCCCTTTTTTTTAAAATAATATTATTTTTTAGAGTTTGAGTGGAAGGAGGTTTGTGAGCAAGGGTCTGGATATCCAACCTGCTCCCCTCGCCCTGCCATGGGGGCTGAGATATTTGGGGGCGATGGGGGTGGAGGCATCGGGATGCTTTTAAGCAGAAACCCCACTGGGAGCCGAAGTGGGAGCCTGGCAGGCTCCTGAAACTGGAGCAGCAGGGACGGGAATGGAAAAAAAAGAAAAAAAAAAATCATATTAAAGCCAGAAATTTGGAAAAAAATAGGTCTGAGCTGCCCCAGGGCTCGGCGCACCCATCCTGTGCACATCACAGCTATGGGGGCAGCCCCTGAGGATCCTATCCCCAGGGACCCTGACCCTCCTCCCCTCTTCACGTCCCCATCCCCCCCCTGTGCAGGTGCACCAAATCTGTATGAATTCAGCTGAATCCAGGCAGCGTGGGGGGCTGCTACAAAGGGAACCCCCCAAAGCGAGAGGTGGGTGCCCTGGGTGGGGGGAATGGGGGCTTGTTGTGGGGGGAGGAGGGATGACCAGGAGTATTTGGGGAGCCTGTGAGCATTCACAGGGGAGTGAGTGTGTGCCCCCCACCCTGCAGCAGCCCCCCTGCAGCAGCACGCTGAGCAATGGGAACCCTTCTCCCCTCCGGGTCTCCCCACCCTGCAACCCCCTCCCCCCCTCCCTCTGCTGCCCACCTTGATTTTTCACAGTTTAAAGCTGGAGAAAATAAAAATGAAAACAAAAATAATGCTATCTGTTTTCTCTTGCAAGTAAATCCACTTATTATATTTACATTTATTTATAGTTGCTTTTTTATTAAAAAAATTGCCACTTTTTTTGTCTTTTTTTTTTAAGAAACCTTTTTTGACCTTTTTTTTTTTCCCTTTTTTTTTCTTTTCTTTTTTTATTTTTTTTTCTTTTTTTTTCTTTTTGACATTGCGTGTCTCTGCTTTTTCGCACTGTCATTGCTGACCCTGGTCGATGGGAGGGGAGAGGAAGGGGTCCCCAGAACCAGGGGAGCCCCCAAGGGCCCCGGGGAACACTGCAGGCAGCTCCTGTGCTCCCAGGGCATAGTGGCCACCTTTGCTCATAGGGACCCGCAGGGGACAAGTGGCTCCTGGGCTCCCAGGAGGGGCTGAGCGGGTCCTGGATGGGCTGAGTGCCCTCCTGCACCCCGAGAGCCCCCACAGCCTTCAGCTGACCTTGGGGACATGGAGGGGTTGCTGCAGGTCTGGGCCCCCCAGGAGCCTGCGGTGAGCTGAAGGAAGAGGGAAATGAACCATAAAATTAAAGAATCCCCCCCCCAAACCCAAAGAGCTGCCACCTCCTCTTCATACTCCTTCTCCTCTTCCTCCCACTTGGTTTATTGTCGTTATTTCTTGGTTCCCTTTTATATTTTTTTTTAAATCTCTTTTTATTAAATGTTAAAATAATGGTACATGGGAAATCATGCATTTTCTTTTAAATTTATTTCTATTTTTTTTTTTTAAATCTCTCTCGGTTTTAAAGTTTTTTATTTTTTTTCTTTTTTATTTTTATTTTTTTTTTTCAAGTTTTTTTTTTTTTTCTCTGTTGTTTCTTCCCTCACGTTTCCTTTTGTATTTTGTTTGCTCGCTGTACGTTTGCTTTGTGTTCACGTGCTCGTTTGTCTGCTTATCTCTTTGCTCACCGGTCGCTCCGTATTTTATTTCCTATTTTTCGCGCGTGTTTTTTTTTTTTTTTAATGCTTTTTTTTTTTTTCTTTTTACACTTTTTTTCTCTATGTTTGTTTGTTTGTTTGCTTGTTTGTTCGTTTGTTTTTTGTTTGTTTTTTTTTGCGATTGCGAGGGCCCCACCCCGGGGGGCGCTCACACCTCCTCCCACCCCGCCACCCCCTTTGCCCTCACCCCCCAGCCCACCCCCCCCTCCCCCATCACCCACCCCATCCTCCTGCCTCCTCCTTCCCCACTCGCAGCTCCTGGCGGCGGCTTCATACCGGGGTGGTCCGGCGGTTGGCTGTGTTGGTGTGGATCGAGTCCTTGTTCTCCTTCTGGATACAGTTGTGAACCTGGAGGAAGCTGTTATCCCTGTCGGAGTTGTAGGTAGCGGTAGGGGTGGTGGTGGCCTTCAGCGGGTCCCTGCTCAGGGTGTACATCGAGATCTCTGTTGATGGAAGGGTGTTGAACCCTTTGATCCCGACGGGAGAGGCATCCCTGGAGTGTGAAGGCTCGGTGGAGCGGGAGCTGGAGCGGCTGCGTCTCTGGTAGCGGTACCGGTAGCTGGGGATGCGGGTGATGGCGGAGGACTGGAGGTAGTCCGTGGCGCGAGCGTTGGCGCGCAGCTGTTTGTGCCGGTCAATGAACATGTGGACGGCCAGCACTCCCACTATCTCGGCTATAATGAAGGACAGGGCCCCAAAGTAGAAGGACCAGCCGTAGGAGTAGCTGTTCTTCTTGGAGTCGCTCTTCGAGGGGTCTCCAGCGTTGGCTGATATGTATACGATGATCCCGATTATATTACTCAGACCTGGGGGAGAGGCAGCCGTCAGGAGGACAACGCGTGGCGGTGGCCGTGGGATGAGACTCCTGCCCTCCTGCTGCCAGGAGGGGTAATGGAGTCCCATACCTACCTGCTGGTCTCCATCGCAGCTTTTCCTGGGCAAGCCCTTGCTCCTGCATCCCCCACACCCTGATGGCCCCCTAAAGCCACCAGCCACGAGGATCCTCCCTCCCTATGTGGCAGACGGAGAGGCTTCCTCAGGGTATTGCCTTCATCCCAGGTTGGAAAAGCAGCCCTCCCTTACCCCGGAGCCCAGCCCACACATGTCCCATTACCTGCAGACACGAAGAAGATGCCGGCACTAAGGATGATGTTGTGTCGAGTTTTGTAGAACTCGCTGGCTGCAATGCAGAGTCCACCCATGAAAAGCAGAATCACACTCAGGATCGGAAAAATACTAGAGGCTCTAACAGCCCCTGCGGAGGAGAGAGGGAGAGGGGCAGAGACAACAATGCGCGTGTCAGAGAGAAGAATCAGGGCTGTGGCAGCAACATGGGGCGAGGGGACCAGGGGGCATGACTTGGGGGAGTCAGAGTAATTCACGGAGGAGTAAAAAGGGGGTGAGAAGACAGAGACAAAGTGTGTCAGAAGATGCTGGTGATGAAAGAGCTAGGCTCGTTCCAGAGGACAGGGGTGGGTGTGCGTGTGCCAGCTCCATACACATGCCATTGGTCAATAGTGGATAACTCAGCTGGCAGAGGGCAATGACACCAATGCACACAGATGCACAATGAACCCTAGAGCTCTGGGGGAAAACTCGCGTGTATTCAGGCAGTCTGCATTGGTTTGTGTTGGCACTGTTTGTTTTTTTTTTTTACTGAGAAGGGCTTCCCTCCTCTCTTCCCAAGAGGAAGTAATCTGTAAAGCATGAAATGAAGCCTTGCTTGCTAAAGAAAGGTATCAGACGGGTTGGTGCAATTCTGCTTGTGGAGCAAAGATAGGGAAAGAAGGATGAAAGCCAAACACTCCTTGCCTACAGGAATGGACCCTCCTGAAGCAAATCACGGAATCATAGAATATCCCAAGTTGGAAGGAATCCATAAGGATCATCAAATCCAGCCCCTCAGTCCCAAAAGTGGGACATTTTCTGGTGCAAGAATAGACTTTTTTCAAAGACCCTGCTGGTGTTTGAGTCCTACCAGGCAGAAGAAATGGGCTCTTTGAGTGGGGGGCCAATTCCCTGCTGTTGTGTTGAGAATGCAATAAGCAGGGATAAACCTCTCGCTTGCTTTCCATCTCTCCTTGGCTGAGTTTCAGGGAACAGGAGAGTGATAATAACCATCTTAATAGCTTCTGGAAGGCAAGGCAGAATTCAACAAGGTGAAGCTAAATGGAGGTGAGCAAATATCAAGCCAGCATCCTCTGTTTGGAATGTTTCTAGAGGGACGCTCACAACCCTGCTCTGACCTTATCAGTTTTAACTGGGTCTTATTTCAGAAATTCCCACATGCTAGGAGAACCAGAATGTGCCCGCTGATGTGGGGAGCTGCAGGCAGCGTGAAAAGTGTGAGGGTAGGCCCTGCTTCCCGCTCCTTGGAAGGACCAAGGAAGCAAGAGAGGGGCAGGGTTTCATCTGGTTTTCTGGATCCTTGGGTCTAAAGACAAAAGGATTTGTGATGGTATTTGGATGCTCATAGCATCCGCCTATTTTCTAACTTCATGTTAGCAAGTGAACACAGGGATGCCGCTGCTTCCTCTCTAATGGATGTTTAATTCTCAGAAACATGAGATACCTTCTGAAGATGTCTGACAGGCATCAAGTCTAAGCCCTTCTAGATGGGCCACGGGCACTGTCCCATGATTATCGTAGTCCTTGAACCGAAGGGATCGCTTAAGTTGATAACAATGAATACCCTCCCAGCTGCCCTTGCCAGCACCACCACCCATGGACTCAATTTGGCAGAAGGCTTGGGGAAGAGGCAGCTTGGTGGGGTCCTTATGCAGCCAGGCAGCAGAAGCCCAACTTCCTCAAGGAGAGACCTCAGGAGTCCTTAACTAAGTGGCCAAACCCCACTTCGAATCTAATTTTTCAAAAATGTTCTGTCTTAGGACACTCTCAGGTCCTGGCATTGGCCAGATTTTGTGGGTTTTGTTCCCTCTGAGAGAATGAATCCACAGCTCTTGGGATGCTCACTCCCTTCCCCCAGCTCTCCTTCCTGAAGTTCAAAGGATGCTTGCAGTTTCCTCACTCCCAAGCAGTAAGAGTGCAAGCAGTAAGAGCCATCTCTTTTCATATACAAATGAGCTTTTCAGAATCTAAATTCTCTCTCTCATCTCTGCCACAGGGCTGGGTCTCCACATCTGGCTTCCAGCACAGCTGGCTGACAAGGAGCAGCTTTGATATGCTGCTGGTCTTTGGAGACCTCTGGTGCTTCACCTTGGGAGGTCAAAATCTCTTGTCTCAGATTCCTGAACGGAGAAGATCTCTTCTCATGGTGCCAAAAGATGCTGTGAGTGTGCAGAGGGTGGAAAAGAAAGCAAGGGGGCAGACCTGGGAGGGGGAGTGACTCCTGTTCAGCTGAGCTCTCAGGGTAGGAGGAAGTGGTGGCTCATTGCCAGCTGGGGTGATGTGTGCTGTGGGTCTGCCCTGTAGAAACGCCGTGTTTGGAGAGAGGTGGAACAAGAGAGAAACGTGTGTCTCCATTCACTGCAGTCCAGAAGAATTTCTTAGATCTGATGCAATCAGAGTATGAGATAAGGAAGCACAACCTTGTTCTATGTGAAGTGGGCATGTTTGGGCAGAGAGGATGCTTGAGTTAGGTCAGTGATACAGAGGGGAGCTCTGGTGTTCCTGTACCCAGGATTTGGCTGCAGAATCAGCTGCAACTATGAAGGATGGCCCCTGCAGCCCTCCTCTGTCCCCATGCCTCTCGCCCACTGAGGGGCTCAGAAACTGCTATTGTCACGTGCCAAACTCTGATGCATTTGGGTTAGAAGACTCCGGGTTTATATCACAATGAATTGCTGCTAATAAGAAATTGGTTGTCATGACACTTGACTTGTCTCAATGGCAGGTGCCAGGGAGGTGAGACTGCAGCCAGATGCAAAGACTCAGTGGATCTGGGGGGGGCCCTGCCCACCTCTCACAGCCGTCCCTCCCTCCGCCCCCTGAGCTCCACAGGATCCAGGATCTGCACTGCACTGTTTTCAGAGAGCAAAAGGCACCCGATGACAGCACCTATGAGCAGTTTCTGGGAAAAGGGCCTGTGGACTTACGGAGGAAATATTCTGCTGTATCGGCTTCATAATCTGCATCCTCAGGGAAGTGATCGATTTGCTTACACAGACCTTTAAAATTCCCTAGGGAACAAGAGAAAAAAAAAGAACAAATGAGAACACCAGCAAACTCCTTGAAGGAGCAACTGCCCTCTGTGTTGCTCCTTACTCCCTCCCTTCCTTTCTCCCAGGCAGCACGCACACTCACATGGGGACCATTAGCTGCTGTCCTCACATGCTCACACACCCATCTCTCTCTTCTTTGTACAGGAACACGGGCCGGACACAGACTGATGTCTACTTGGCCTAGTGTCCCTTGCTCTGGGATTTGGAAGCACTGGAGGTTTTGGCCATGCATGGACAAGGGGTCTGTCCCGCCTCTGTAGGAGGTGGAACTGGAGTCACAGATGGCAAAACTCGTGGGTTAGCATCCCTTCTGTTGGCATCGACTGAAACAACTTCAGGTGTTTGCATAGTTACAGAGAGGCCAGTTCTCCACTTGAATTTCACCTGGCATAGCCTCGGTGAATTCCAGTGGTGTTGCATACAGAGGGCTGATTGTATTTGTGCAGAGAAGTGTTTGTTTTCCTCTGCTGTGAATTTGCTATACCTATTCATTTCACTGGCGGGATATGTTCCATTGTTCCGCTGTTGTACGAGAAGAACAAAAGCTCCTAATCTACTTGCTCCGTATGACTGCCTGCTTTGTGTGCCTTTAGCAGGCCTCCTCTTATGTCTGCTCATAGATTAAGCCTGCAAGAAGTTCTGCGTGAGTGTTGGGGTGCAGCCCTGCAGCCAAGGAGCCCATGTGCTGGGGGAAATCTTCTGCTGTGGTTGAGAATCTGGGTCACCCACAGATTCACCAAGCTGGTGAAAATCCCCCATCCAGGTTACTTCTACCAGCCTCTCATCTAAAGCCACGGGGCACTCTCTTTAACGCACTCTACGACCAGCAAAGCCATCTCACCAGAAGGCCTGAGAGATCTTCACAGTCCATCATCATCTGAGATTTCTACCAGTCTCTTCTTTTCAACACTTGTGTCACTCTCCTCTTGAAATCAGCAATACCACAGCAGATTGGTAATCTTTGAGCATAGTCATCATCATGGCCATTGGTTGACTGGACATTGATTAGTATATTGAGGTACCTGGTTGTTCATGTTGGTACAAGGTTCTTTGGGAAGGAGGACCACAGTACCCAAGTGGGTGCATGGCTAGGCATGGCAGTCCCAGGGGCCCCCTAGCTGGAGATCAGCCATCAGTGTTTCAAACTGACTGAGCCCTCAGCAAGGGACTTTACAGCCTGAATGCTGAGAATGACAAGTGTTGTGGCAACCTGACAAACCTGCTCTGCCATCCTTGCCCAGCCATGGTACCAGCTGGGTGTGCAGGGCAGGGGATTTTGAAGCTACCGCAACTGTAGATGTTGCCTCCAGGAACGGTTGTTTGTGAGGAACCTAGAGCTCTTCCAGGCTAACTCTTGCCAGACTGAGACCTCAGGCACCATGTCAGGTTCCTGAGTCATGTCTCAGAAGATTTGTTCCAGATGATTTCCAATGGTGTCTCAGGTATTTGGGAATATGTAGAAACATAGATGATTCTGCCTGGGCTTTTCTCCAGGCAAAGCCTTGCTTGAACAAGGTTTGGGAGACTGCACAGACTGAAGTTTCTCTGAGTCAGCCCCTATGCTTGGCTCTTCTGAGTTCTGTCAGTTTTTGCCTGGTACTTGTGAGATTCATATCACCATTCGCTGTTAGTACAAGGAGCACCGAAGAAGAGGAGAGGAGTGTGTGTAAAAGGTAAGCACTAGGAGGAGAAAGTAGGAACAAAGCCTCTCCGTGTATCTCTGAAGTGTTATTCCTACATCTAACCCATGGGTTATAAGTTATTAATCACCCTTCCACAATGCAGTTAGCTCAAGTGTCTGCTTCTCAGCCATGGCTCTCCTGGAAGGAAAGATCCACAGCCAAGCAAATTTCCCCACTACACTCTCACCTGCTACTTGCCCACACAGTACAAGGCAATGGACAGGCAGACTCTTTGAAAAAACCTGCTCCCAGTGCTGGATGTCCAAAGATTTCTGCTGCTGATGCTCAGCAGGGTGTTTGGCCATTGAGCTGTCCAAACCTGCTTGCTTAAAATGTCGTGGCACTCAGGAGCTGCTTTTCACCCTGGGATGATGTGCTGCTCTGGTCTGGTCCTGGTTCAGCCCCACTGGTGTTCATGAGGGCAGCGTGGGCAACGCTGGTCCCATTGAGTTGCTGCTGTCTGTGATACAAGCATGGAGCTGTGGCTCCAGAAGACAGATGCTTGCCTGTGCTGCCACGGCTTCTCCTCCAATGCCTCCTAGCTCATCTGGGCAATGGATGGAGAAAGAATGCAGAATTTAGGTCATTAACGTGGTGACTGGGAATAGAGAACAAGATTCAGTTTCTGTCCTGCCACAGGCATGCTGCTGAAACCATTTCTTATCTCTGCCTTGGAGACCCACCTCATGAGATGGGGGGACAGCACTGCTCTGCCTTGCACTCCTCCAGAGGACGCAGGGTGGCTGCACGGCTGTCATAGGCTGTATGTGTGCTCGGGGCAGATGCGATGGCTCAGAAATCAGCTCAGTGTGGAGCAGTCGCCTCTCATGCCAAGACGGCTTGGCAATCCTCTCCTGGACATCTGTGGCCCACTGGGATGGTGGGACAGCCTCCCCAGCTCCTGTGCCAGTGGAAGCCCCTCAGCCACTTGTGGGGAGGGGTTTAGAAAAGCTCAGCAGTGTTTCAGAAGTCTGACACAAGGCCATTCTCCCATTCCGCACATACCGTTTGCAAAGCCAGGGAGGGAAGAACCATGTTCCACACCACGGTTAGTACCCCTGAATGCCTGTGCATGAGCACATCTCTATTTTGGAGGATGTGCAGGACTCTGGGACCCCTTTAAGGAGAGAGGAAAGATGTATCCTCATACATACTCATGTCCTTTTGCCCTTCCCATTCTTCCTGATGAAGTATTTCATGCTGTGAACCCCAGGCAGGTGTTGAGCACTGTGACTTTGCAAACCCACAAGAAACTCAAGCTACACATTTCCACCCTCTCATTGCAGCTCTCCCAGCTTCCAGTTCTCCCCTCAACCTCCAGATCCTCCTCCCATTTCTCAGACTCATTCTCTATAGCCAACTCCTTCCATCCAATGTTGCTGTGGGGCTCCTGGGGCAGCCTGATTTTGGACGTGCAGAGCAGCTGGGGAAGAGCTCTGACTTGCCTCAGGGCCAAAAAAGTGTGGTTGCCCAGGTCCATGGAAAACACCCCTAGCCTCTGACATGGTATCAGCCTTCTGACACCATGGAAATATTCCAGAGCATCTCCCAAGATGTTGCTGGGTGTCCTTCAGTCAGACCCCCAGCATTTACCTGCCCAAACTTTGGAAAGCTTGGGAGCAGAGGCAGCGCTTTGCGCTCTGACCTGCCCCAGTGCCAAGAGGGACTCTACGTCTAAAACGCATAGACATCAGCACTGACTGAGTACTTGGTCTCAGAGAGGCCTCCTGCAAGGCGGCCAGCCACTGTTTGGGTACATGCTGTCTATGCAGGGCAGCTGGCAGCTGCCGGCTCTGCTGCAGCGCGAGCCGGACCAAGTTACCCCTGATGGGAACCTGGCTCAGTGCTGTTGATGGCACGGTTTATTTTTGTGCTGCTTTGTACAGCCCTGGCTTTTTCAGAAGTCTCGACTGCCTGCGGAGTGCAATCCGTTGGCAAATAGTAAGTTCCGAAGAATACAAAGCTGCTCCCTTCCCACAGGGAGAAGGGAATGCTTTTAGATGGTCAGGACTGTACATCTGAAAACTGGGAGCCAGAGGGAGAGACATCCAAAAGGAGAGAAACAGACAAAGAGGGAAGAGAACAGAAAGACCTGTTTTTCCCAGAATGATTTGTGGTATTTCCATTTACGGAAAAAAGCAATCCGCTGAAAGCTTTCCTTTAGCCTCCCTCTCTAATTTAGCAGAGGTTTTGGCATGGTGGCTTCTGGAGAAATAAATAAAGGTGGCTGGATATAGCTGTTGTCTCTAAAAGCTCAGAATGATGGCTCAGTGTTAGCCAAGGATTCAGCACCTCCACACATTTCCTGTATCATTTTAGCAAGTCACTTAACCCCACTCTTCTGTCACAGACAGAGCGAATAATGGTATTTCCCTGCCTTGGGGAAACAGCCTGAGGATATCTGTATTAGAAACATGAAGGAGATCAGACACTGGAGCTGTTTGGGACAGATATTTCTCCACACTTTCCAGTTCAAACATAACGTGGTCCTCCTTGACGTGACCTTCTCTCAGATGAACACGTGAAAGACCTCCCAAATCCACACTGGTGATTCCTGCCTTTAGAAGTAATTGTCATGGCAGATTAAATTGGTATTTACTATTTGCCCATGCAAGAAATGAGGAAAATGGCACAGGAAGGGCAGGAGGGAGGACACAGATCTCGAACATTTCTTTCTGCTCCAAGATTCTGTTTCTGAGATTATTCCCTTTGGGACCAGGTGGCAAAGCTCGGAACTTGGAGGACAAATTCCAGTGCTGTATGGCAAACTGCTGGTACATGAGCTTTACAAGTATTGCCAAAGGACTTGCAAGCCAGGAGAGGAAGTTTGCCATCGCTGTCCCAAAACGGTGCTGTGATACCAGTAGGGTGGGAAATGGAGTCTGCAGGGCTTAGCCTGGGGAAATAGTGGAGATCCTCTGGGAACTAAAGGCCATCAGAAGCCTCATCACCTTCTCACGTAAATGCAGCATGCCTGCTTTGATGTGGCCTTCTCCAACATAAACGTGCAGCAGTGCATATGTTAAACAAAAAACCAACAAAACCCTAGCAACATAACCAGTATGCTGCATACATAATTCTCTCCCTGGGGAGAGGATAAAAGAACAAACCACATGTGACTGATATCAAGCCCCATCACTTAATGTGCCACTGGAAATCATTCAGATATTGTGGCAAAGAAGACTGTAAAAGGACTGATGCAAAATAGAAATTGATCTTACAGTTATTAAAGAATATCCCCCCTGCCTACGAGGGAGAACCATTATATCAGCTCTC